CAGGGGGAACAGTCCAAGTGTCCGGTAGTTAAGAACTCAGGGAGGATGGATTTGGGGAGACTCAGGACAGGAAGGCCTGTTGATGTCACCCTGCAAGGAGTAAGTAGGCTAGGGGAAGTTGAGACCTTGTGCTTGTGGGTAGGTTCCTCGTGTCAGAGATCTGAGCCATAGCAGCACAGTGTTAAGGCACCTGAAGATTACAGAGCAGGTGACAACCTCTTACTGGTCTGGGTGATCCCTAAAACATCAACATAAGACAGCACATCCATAAAAACAAAAAAAGAATATAAATCCACATGAAAGGAAGAACCACATGTGAAAATCTTGGACACAATGCTTAACACACTACAGCAAAGAGCTCTGATGTCATGATGATGGGTGCAGTATAAGAACCTGAATAGAATATCAGTGAACAGATAACAGGTGCGAATAGTGCTGCTCATATCTGATGTGACTAGCAGTACCGGTGTCCCAAATGATATAGTGCAACATCCTATCCTATGGGGATAAAGACCAGATGAGGATAATATGTCTGGGTGCAGTCCTGTATCTGGAAGCAAAATATGTTAAAACAAAAATAAATCTTCAAACTGTTAAGCTTCCTAAACAAAACCAAAGGAAAACTGCATCCATGAGAGTAAGGTGACCAAAAGCCTATAAGCAGTTACTGATTAAAAGCAAACATGTTACACTGAATATTTCCACACAGCAATGAAAAAAAACACACAATTACAGTTCTCACAGCAAAGATAACTTGACTGCATTACACATAGAGAATATACATGATTATTAGTTAGCGGTATCCAGTATATTGGCCCCCCATCTACCAACACACATAGTGATCCATCAAGGAATAGTTTGAGACACCTACTCTGGGTACACTCAGAGAAGGCAATTCAGGAAGAACATTGTTTGGAAGGCCTCCAGGCTTCTACAAGATGTTGTGAGAACACCACCTGGCTCCTCTGCAGCCCACAGATGCCAAGGAAAAAAGTATTCAGCAGCAACAACAGGGCGCTGCAAGGAGGGTCTTGCTGCTTTGTGCCCCCAATCTCTGCCCATGCTTTGGAGGCTGTTGTGGCAGCAAAAAAATCTGCTGGCGGCCACATTTGAGAAACACTGCCCTAATAGATCTGTTCCGTAGCTTCAGAGCTGTGTGCAGTTTCTTAACATGCAAATGTCAGATCTTTAATATACTATTTACAACACTGTTTGCTTCTTTGTTGCTGTTTCACAATACAACACAATTAAGCCAAAGGATTTGGGACATTCCAAGGTTTTTGCTAAATGAGGTCTAGTTAGTTGAGGGAGCCAGTCAACTAGTATTTGTCTACGAAGCTGGCTAGCTGTTTCTTCCCTGTACTGAGGTTGGGAAGTGAGTTCTTCAGCTACTTGTCAGTCCCCCACTTTGCTTTCCTATTTTCCTTCAGCAGGTACCGATTCCCCAGTTTAGTCTTGTAATAGGTTCTGGGGGATTGCAAGAATACTTTTTTTCTTGGCATCTGTGGGCTGCAGAGGAGCCAGGTGGTGTTCTCACAACATCTTGTAGAAGCCTGGAGGCCTTCCAAACAATGTTCTTCCTGAATTGCCTTCTCTGAGTGTACCCAGAGTAGGTGTCTCAAGCTATTCCTCCAAGGGCCAAGAAACCATGTTTTTAGCCCATTTCTGATTTACATCTAATTTGTCAGGTGCTGGGCTTGAAGCTCCATGAGGCTTGCTGAAAGAACACAGTGAGTTCAATTAATGGTTACATAGAAATTAGAACCTC